TTGTTATGCTTGACTTGACTGAAAAATACCCAGTTACAAAATGATAGTGCCAGTAATACAACATGAGTGCTCTGTTGTTGCCCGTTTTATTTTATTTTAAAACACTTTGGTATTTAGAATAGTAGAAGATGTTCACTTCATTTATGTAGACATAAACCAAAAATAATTAAAATATAAATAAATGAGTCAGTGGATGGAATGAGAACAATAACACTGAATATATCTTAAAAAATGCCTTTTTTACTATATTATTAATTTTTCTTTCTTTAAATATTGGATTTAGGCCATTTGTCTTAATTTGTTATTTTATACACCCAGTGTCCTCTTTTAGTTTTTTTTTTTTTACTTTAAAAAATAAAAAAACGAAGCTGAAAAAATAAGCAAATATTTCACACTGACATATGAAATACTGAATTTATATTATATTTATAGTCCTAAGCTATATATTGTACCTTTCTTGTGCGTGTTGAAACAGGCGTTAGTAAAACGTTACTGAGTCTGCGCAGTGGGTCTCACCGTTGTCCATGACGTAATTGACGTTCTCTGTCAGAATCCAGGAAGTGGGTCGGTGGCCGTTGTTTGTGTTCCTTGCTCAAGATCTCGGTGCCTGTTTCTTTTCTCGTTTAATGCGTCCACGGGCCGAAATGGCAGCGTTTATTTCAGTCCCGTTGAAAAAGTCCTCCGAGGTTGATCTGGTGAAGCCGCTGTCGAAGTTTGTTACAGCCTCGTATCCAGCGGGGGACGAGCAGTCAGAGTACCTTCGAGCCGTGGAGGAGTTGAACAAGCTCCGCAAGAGCGCGTTGGGAAGGCCGCTCGACAAACACGAGAGCTCCCTGGAAATCTTACTGAGGTAAAAACTCACTTAGAAACAGAAAAATTAACTAATAAACGTCAAAATGAATGGACACATCATTTAACTATTGGCTTCTTGAGTTGGCTTAGTTGCCGCACCCAGAGGTTAGCTTTTAGCTGCTAACATGATAGCTAAAAAGCTACAACTGCAGATTTATTGACACTAGTAAGACGTCTCTGACTGATTAGTAAATATATATCAGTTAATTAAACTAGTTGACTTTTAACAAGTTTAATTATCCGTGTCAATTTAGGAGTTCATTGTTCTAGATGCTCTGTTAAAATAAGTCATATTACACCTCGTTTCACTTGAACTGCTTCTCCCACATGTAACACAAAACACAGAAGCTATTACTCAATGCTCAGAAATAACAACATAAATCAAAATAAACATACAGTTAGTGTAAGCATTATACAAACCCCAGCCTTCATCATTAAGCTTAGTCATTCCTGGTCAACATCAACAGCCAGGCGGTCAATGAATTATTAAAAGGAAAACAGTTTACTCTTACAGTAGTAACGTTTTACTGTCAACGTTGTAATGGAAACATGAAGATTTAACTAGTAAAAATCAAAATTGTAGTAAAAAAACAAAACAAAACAAAAAAACTTAAAGAATAATAAAAAAGAAAAAAATGTCATTCAAGTTGAAACGCAGGGACATAAATTTGACATTCACTCAGTGAATCTTATACACATCTTTTCATACACAGTGGGGGACAACACAAAATGTTTTCTACAAGATTAAAAACAGGTGACTATTTTATAAAAAAGTAAACAGACAATGAGCTATACTATGGTAGACATTGAAGGAAAAGTAAATGCATATAAATGTAAAGAAATTTAAGAAAGCTAAGAAATAATAAAGGAAGAAAAGAGGAAGAAAGAAAGAAAACTAAAATGTACATTTACTTAAACAAGAGCAAACTAACAATAAAATAGCACAATGCTGTGAGAGTAATGTTACATTAAATGTGCAAGAAGTATATGAATATTTGTGGGGGGAAAATTAGGAATGACATTAAAATATGTAATAAAAAATCATCTTTAATAAGTCAGTGGAAAGCCTAGCCATATAAATTAATCTAAAGCAATACTGACAGATGTGTTGCTGTCTGACTGTGTATTTTAACATAAAAAAGAAAGTCCCTTCACTGTCCTATCAGTCAGATATGGTTAACAAAATGTCCCTGCTCCAGCCTCTTTGCATAAAGGAAGTGTACACAAGCTTCACCTGGGCTTTAACAAAGTTTCTCTGTATCCTCTCCATGTTTGTGGCCAGATTGTTATTAGCTGCTCTGTTATTTAGTGTAGCTGATCTTTTTTTTTTTTTCCCAATGACTGACGCCTCATATTAGTGACTGGACGCTCTTCTTCTGTCTGAAAACTATTTCTTAATATTAACAGACATCTATAATACAAAAAACCTTTGCCCTTTTTATTTCAGCGATCGTTCTGACTCACACTCTGAACATAAAGCCCAGGCTGTATATGTTGGTATTTATATTTCAAATTGTCTTCCAGTTTTTTACTTTGTGATCATATTATTTTACTCTGGACCAATGTGCCACCAGAAGTTTCTTTTTTAAAAATGATTTTCTGGCACCATAATTTTTCTTATAGTTAACAACTGGGAGCAGTGCAGTGCAGAGCAATTACTCACCTTTTGGTCACATGACTTCTGTCACGCTATCTGTGATTTGACATTGTGGCCAAGACTTTAAATCCATTTCAGCCAGGTTAAATTATAGATGGATCTTTATGTCCAATATCTTGGCTCTGAAATTTATTTCCTTCCCTGATGTTTTTCTATCAACTGGATTAAGAGGTAGAATTAGAGACGCGCAAATTGGGCTTTTCCTGATCAACACAGACTTCCTGTTTACTTTATGGTTTTTATTTTTTTTTATTTTTTTTTTATGACAAACTTATAAAACTATTCCATATTAAAAGAGGTACTCAGGTAGTTGTCATTTAAAAATAAAAGAATCCATATAAAAATAAAAGAATTACAAGACTATCCTCATTTGTGAATAAAGAAAAGAAAATCACAGATCAGAGCCAATAACTTAGAGCAGTAACTAAATTATTGTTTCAAAGTTGTTTTTTATTAATTTAGGTGTTACTTTTGTCTAAATTACATTTGTTTTTTTATAAATATATGCTTATATGAGCAGTTCTCTTGAGACTAACATGTCTGCGATGAATCGCCTGCTGCTGTTGTCGCTCCTCGGTCCTCAGCGGTCGTAGTCACGGCGACGGGTCTTTTCACAGACGGCTTAGTGTTACCCTGGTGACCAGTGTTTGCTGGGACATTTTTTTTCCCCTCTCTCTCTCCCTTTAGTTCAGCCACAAGGCACGCCTCGTCTCAGTTTTCCTGTGTGAACGCACAGCTCCCTACGTGTGTGTTTGTGCTGGAAACACACAACTCTTTAAGAAAAGAAGGGTTGGTGACCCAGTGATAGGGGATTCCCTGACTGTCTGTATCTCAAAGCTAAAAATGGACTGTTGACATCACCTCACAGGTATACTAAGGTCAAAAGTTTTTCCTTTGTCATTTTTTCCCTGAGTCATTGTCAGATTCCTAACTGCAGCAGTTCCTCAAAGCACTCCACTGTTGCGTCACATCTATCAATCATGAAACCTGACGCTCACATGTCAGCCCGTGGCTGTTTTACAGGTTACATGTTATTTATTTAGAACAATATTGAGACTTGTTGTATGGTTGAAACGCAGTGTAAAACCGAGTGGTGTTTTGATTCTGCTTTCTCTTTTTGTCCGCAGATACTACGATCAACTGTGTTCCATTGAGCCCAAGTTTCCCTTCTCTGAAAACCAGGTAATTGATTGAGCAGTGCATATGACTCTGGGTTGAACGCTTCATTAAATGGAGAGGAACTTGGAAAAACAAAGCCTGCTTTTGTTTCTGCAGCTCTGCCTAACCTTCACATGGAAGGATGCCTTTGATAAAGGATCCCTGTTCGGTGGCTCCGTCAAGCTCTGTGAGTAATGCTGCAATAAACATAATTGTGTCAAGAAAATAACAGGCAATCATTAGCATTCAATTTTCAGCCCTTGTGGCACATTTGGTTTTCTGTATTTGGTTACCCTTTTTGTGTCTTTCATGCTGTGAGAAACAAAGCTTTACAGCACTCACTTTGTCCTCGAAATCAGATGTCCTAGCCAGCCTAAAAATAGCCAAAGATGTCTTGTACCTTATCTGAATAGTTTGTGTTCTTAAGAAAGCTGCAAAGACTGTATTAAATCTTTCGTTGTAAACATTGTTCCTCTCTGATGTCCCAACTCTGTCATCATTTGAACGTTTTGTTCCTGTTGGTGAATTATTAAAGACCGATTCATGACTGCATCATGAATCTTTTCGGTGAACTTTGGCCCACACAGTGGTGTCAAATTCCAGTCCTTAAGGGCTCAAGGATCAAGTTTTCTCCTCAGCAAGCAGTCGAGCTCAATAGAGTCCTGCTAATGACCTAATTATGGGATTCAAGTGTTTTGGCAGAGACACCATCTAAATATTTCCCTGGAGGTCAGGGGTTTGACACTGCTCCACTCCACACAAATCTTTGTTGTGTCAAATAAGGAAGTTCATGACTTCTGACATCAAAATAAAAGGTTACTGGGAAATAAATGTAATCCGTTTAAGACAAGAGATGATTTTGCTTTAACAGTTGTGTTTGTGTTGCAGCTCTGGCCAGTTTGGGTTACGAGAAGACGTGCGTGTTGTTCAACTGTGCAGCTCTGGCCAGTCAGATCGCCACAGAGCAGAACATTGACAACGACGAGTGTCTCAAAGCTGCCGCTAAATACTATCAGGTCTGTGCAGTAGTATTTGATTTTTTTTTTTGTTTGTGTAGTTTTATATTTTTGGAAGCTCATACTTAAATATACGAGAGTAAAGAAATATTGTTGAACCTTTTCATAACCCAGCCTCATGAGACACAGGTTTTAACCCATAAAGAAACACAACAGCAGAACTGCTGATGTTGCACAACTTTAATAGTTTTTCAGCGGTGGCCAACTCCAGCCCTCAAGAACCAGCATCCTTATTTTTGTCCCTGCTGCAATGCAGATGAGCCGTACGGCTGAATTACCTTCTCAGCACTTCACCAGGTTCTCGGAGAGAGCTGAAGAACCGTTCATATAATTCAGGGGTACATCTAAAGTATGCCAGGGCCCAACCTCTTGAGGACTGGAGTCAACCAACCCCGAGTTACTTGTTATAATTTGGACACAGTGGGTTCAATCAGCTATATTAGTTTTTAAAATCATCAGAGATGTCCGGTGATAAATAAAATCCCATTCGGTAAGGCAGCTCTTTTTTCTTTTCTTTTTTTTTTTTCAACTGAGGAGGATTTTAGCAACTATATATTCTAAAAGATCCCAGAAAGCTTTTTACTACTTCACTTATTTTGGCAACAGCTGTTTTTTTTTTGTTTTTTTTTTAGTTTCACTGAAGGTCATCCAGGTAAGTTACTGCTGCAGGGAGTCGCACCTTGTCAGTGGGCAGTCCTTGTATTTGTCCCAGAAGTTGGGAACTTGGAGATGCACTGATTGCAATTTAATAGCTGATTTTTACAAAAAAAAAAAAAAATCTTTGGAAAAACTTTGAGCCGTTCACAAAGATTGCATAATATTCGAAAATTTTACATTGGTGATAATTGCAAATATTTCAGTGGTGATTTCAGTTGTGATATCTGCCTGTTTTTTTTTCCATCACAGAGTGATTTCATCACTCTGTGACCTTCAGTATTTTGGGCAGTGCCATTTATTTGTGATGTGAGCATCTGCTGCCACGAGACTCTGTCCAACTGACTAAGTATTGCATTGGCAAAAGAAAACTGCAAGTTCATAACACTTGGAAAAATATTTTCCAATTATTATTTCACTCCAAAAATTATGTAGCTTTACTCTTGATGCCAGTTTTGCTTTAGGAACCGTAAGGTAAAAAGATACAAGAATAGCTTTTAAGAATATTATTTTGGATTCCTTCCTTGAGTTAATAAATATTTAGGAGCAGATGTAATGCCACCATTTTTATTTTAAAACAAAGACAAAATATGAACTTGATGTTTTAAACTTTTAGTGCTTAGAGTGATTAAAACAGTTTTGGTGTGTATTCCCTGCAGCAGGAGTCTCAAACTGCAGTCCTCAAGGTCACAATATGCAACTTCTAGATTTATCCCCAGTCCAACACATCTGATTCAAATGGCTGCTTTTCCCCTCCTGCATGCAGTTCCACACAGTCCTGCTAATTTTCCTTCCAAAAGCTAATATATCCTGAAACCTTTTGATGCAGATCTTCTCCAACACACCTCAATCAAATGAATAACTCTTAAACGTAAGACGAAACGCTGAAGAAATGCATCCATTTGATTCAGGTTAAAAAGTCTCTCTCTCATTCTCACCGACATGTTTCACCATGTTACTGAAACAAACACCAAATAAGACTCTTGTTGTTTGAGTCTTTGACTCTTCCTCCCTCTGTAAAAGCAGGAGTGTTGTTGACAATGCCACCCAGTGACATTAATGGAAGATGCGTTCACTAACGGGAGGAAAAGGGTCGGATTTTTAAAGTTTTCAACTAGATTTGACGCGAGATGTGTTGGATCAAGCTGAAAATGTGCCGACTGCGATCGGCTGCTGATTTCCAGTTACTGTACTCCTCCTGAAATGAGTTGTTTGAGCTGCAGAAAGTTGTAATTTTAAAATCTGAACTCGATCTCGATGTGTTCATCCAGCTGGCCAGTGGAGCGTTTAGTCACATCAAGGACACAGTGCTGTCTGCGCTGAGCAGAGAGCCGACCATGGACATCTGTCCTGAGACCGTAGGAACTCTGAGCACCATCATGCTGGCCCAGGCCCAGGAGGTTTTCTTCCTCAAAGCCACTTCAGGTACTGAAGGCCAGACTGACACCGCACTGCTCTCCTACTGCCGCTGTTCAGTTGTTTTTTTTCTTCCTTTATTTTTTTAGATGTCCCAGCACATTTTAACTCCTGTTGCACTTTTTTAAATGTGCATCACAAAATAACTTGCACTTATTTTATTTTATTTTTTTACCAAGTACAGCAAACTTTGCAATTCTCTAATTACACAGCTCTGCATTTTTATTGTCTTGATTAATTTCCAAGGCTGTTTTGATCCAGGCTGCACACAGATTCTGCCCCGATTCTGTCTGCAGAGCTGCTCATTAGACGTTTATATAAAAGTGTTTTTTTTAACGTTACACCAGAAAGTCAGCCCTCTTTCTAAAAATATACGTAATCTCCCGAGTTCACGTTTTACTCGTAAATAAGTTTTTGCTCTGTGATGAGATAATGCATGTGTTAGTTTGGACAGGCAGAGAATTGTAGTAGTTTTACAATACGGCTGATCAAAAGCAATTATTTAAGTAATTGAGTATTCTATTGATTATTCTTGCAATTTATCGAGTAATTGGATTAAAAAGTAATTGGCACATTCTGCAGGTCTTTGTAAATGCATAAAACATGGCAAAAAAACCCCAACTACAAATTAATCAATCCCTTTGTGAAATGAGAAAATAAACATTTTGTTGCCTGAAAAGCAAAGGTATTCCTTTAGTATATGGGAGTTCATTTGTTGCAAAGGATTCCCCTGCAGTTAAATACTTTTAAAATTAATGTGAACCAATTTGAGAAGTTCCTGGCAGAACATGTTTATGGAGAGAGGTTTTTTCCCACCCATCTTAAATCTTAGCTTCTTTACTGCTCTGATAGTGTTTTTTTAAATGACATATTTTAGTCTTTTTTTTTTTAACTCCAGTTAGCGATTGTTCGATTACTAAACGAGTTGAGAATTATCTTAATCAGTTAATCTAATTGTTTCAGCTCTACTATATACTTGTTTTTTTTTGCTTATAAGTGCAGCTCCTCCTGAGAATCCTAATATCTGTTTTTTTGTTCGTTGACTGTAAAATGTTTTTGCTTGCCCGACAGACCGGATGAAAGACGCTGTGATCGCAAAGCTGGCCAATCAGGCCGCAGATTTTTACGGCGAAGCCTTCAAGCAGTGTCAGTACAAAGACAACCTTCCAAAGGTAAGCTTCCAGATTGACCGGAGTCGCACGGCGTAACCGCTTAGACGGCCGACGAAGACGTGCAGACGTTGGACTCTGTGTGACGGATTTTGTGTGTCAGGTTGTTCTTGTTCGTGTGAGACGGGTTGTGGGACTGTTCTAGACTCTCTGTTCTCATTGGTCCTTTTTCATCCTGTTTTCACTGTTATTGGACGGTTTTAACTAAACCAAACCTGAGCTGTTTTCTTTCTGATTTCTCACCGTCAAATCATGAGCAGCTTAAAAAAAATGCAAAGCTTCATGCTGCAAGCTTTTATTTTGAAGGTCAAGTGAATTGAAATTAAAAAAAGCTGTTCAATATTTTAAAATTAGTCAGTTTTAATCACAGATTGGTATCACACACACACACACACACACACATATATATATATATATGTATGTATATGTGTGTGTGTGTACATACCAATCTGTATTATTCTACTTAAGCAGAGTAACTAATTAAATTAATTAGTGGCACAAATGATGCATTTTAATTGCATTTCATATTTTAATGGCGTATTTATTGTCAGAAAGTTAGTCGTCTTTAACTTTGCGAGCTCCAGTTTCTACTGGAAGATGCTTAGAGAATTTATTTTTTATTAGAACTAGGCTTAAGGCTTTATGAAATCCTTGAAAGCTTTTAGTAACAATAACTTGATTTCACAGTGTTGATTCCAGAAAATAAGTAATATTCTATTTAGTACAGCTGTAAATATGCCGTCCATAACATTTATTTATTGTTTGTTTATTTTGAGTCGTTCTTTAACGTCTATCCCGGAGAATATACATGTCATTGTTTTTTCTTTTACAAACAGCAACATGTGGAGGAGGGGTGTCTGTTACAGTCATTAAACAGTAGGCTGCTGTGCTTGGCTGTCTTCTCTCCCTGGAGGGGAAGCGCTGCACATCATTATGTGCTGCATTCACTTGCACTGGGACATCTGACAGTTACTCGTTAAACTCTACTTCACACAGCGTTTAACTTCCAGTTCATTTTGCTGCAATTAAGTAATTAAAATAAATGTTTTTAAGTCCTAAACCTTTTTTTTTTTTACAGGTTAGCATACCTTAATAATCTCATCTCAGACTTTACTCTGGATTATTTTATCCAACTACTGCTCAGTGTTTAGCAAATCAATCCAAAATTATAATTTATAATGAGCTTTGTGAAGTTATAAACAAAAAAAAATAAACTAACTTTGATTAAATACATTTTCTGCATAGTTTAATATTTTTCCTTTGATGCCAAAAATAGATTATGGTGTTTCTGTTTGTAATAGTTTTTTAAGTGAAGATGAAATCCACTTCTCTCTATCTTGAGTTTTATGACTTTAACCTGGTCTGTAAAGCCAAGCTCAGAGAGCAGTGTCTGTGTTGTGGCTGAAAGTCTCAATAACACACAAACATGAAGAGTTGTTGGGTGTTTCTTTGAGGTGTAGCAGCTTCTGCTGAAAGGTTAAACACTCATGGCCTCTTCTGTTTCTCTCTCCCGTTGTCTTTTTTTTTTTTTTTTTCTCCTGCATCCCTCGTGTTGGTGGCGGCCCTCGTTGTCTGTACGTCTGTGTGCTTGTGTCGTGCTCTGCCATGTTTGCACGCCCCCTCGCTGCTCGTGCCTACTTGTGATTTGGCTGTCACGATGCCGATTGTGATTTGACCTTGCTGGTGTGGGTTTCTCTCCTTTTGGTTGCCCCCTGCTGTCACGCACGTGTGTGTGTGTGTGCGCATATTCATGTTTGTGTGCCTGCGTGTTGCTCTGTGGTTGCCTCTCCCTGGTCAGTATTTTTATTTTCAGGAAGTGCTGCCGGTGCTGGCAGCCAAGCACTGCATCATGCAGGCCCACGCCGAGCTGCATCAGAGCATCCTCGCCAAGCAGAAGAAGCGTTTTGGGGAGGAAATTGCTCGTCTGCAGGTAAACAAAATTTAACCAAAGCTTGCTTTTGTCAACATGCTGTAAGCAATTAAGCAAAAAGAAAACATGAGGAACAAAGTTAGCATTATATTTATGAAGCTAATTGTCTAACCCTGTAGCACGCAGCAGAGCTGGTGAAGACCGTCGCGTCTCGCTACGACGAATACGTGAGCGTGAAGGACCTGAGTGACAAGATCAACCGAGCGCTCACTGCCGCCAAGAAAGACAACGACTTCATCTACCACGACCGCGTTCCCGAAGTCAAAGACCTGGAGCACATCGGCAAGGCGGCACTGGTCAAAGCTACCGCGATCACACCTCCACTCAGCCAGAAATACACAGGTATGATTGTGTATCCGTATTGGAGAATAACGATTATTTTAGTTATCGATTACTCAGACAGACGATCAGTAGATTAATCAGATGAAAACATTGGTGCATTCTGTAGATTTTTCATTTAAATCTTTTTATACAATACTAGGAATGCATAAAAAATGAAAATAATTAAGAAAATAAACAGTTTATTGCCAACAATGCAATAGAAAGTTTCCTTTAGAGAACACCTGATCATTTGTAGCAAAGGATTCATCTGAGTTCATCCCTTTCTGCTTGATTTAACATCAGTGGTGTGTGGGACTGATCTTTTTATATATATATATATTTTTTTGCATTAATAATTGCATAGCAAAAGGTGCTTGATGAATTTGAACCAGGTGAAGCTTAAACTATGCACCTTCAGGAGTTTTGTGTTGATCCTAATTAAAGATTAAGGTTTTTGTCATTTTAAATGTATATCTCTGTACAGTTTTGGCTTAATTGCTTCTCTGACTCTGATCTTTTTTTGAGTCTGTACACTCTAGTTAATGATTAATCAATTTACTAAGTTAATTGATGATTATTTCAATAATCAGTTAATCACAATTAATCGAGATTAATTGCTTCAGTCCAAATTTATATTGTCACCTTCCTAAAATAATGGGCCTGAGTCCTTTTTAGAAAATCACCACATTTTGTTCCCAAAAGATGTTTTAGGCAAAAAAAAAAAAAAAAAAGGAAAAAGACTTAGGCAATTATTTTAGGAAGGGACGAAATGTTGCTGGATCTGTAAGTATTTAATAATAAAGAACATGAGTTTGAGACCAAACTTTGAACTTCAGACATTATTTTCTTCCTTCATAATAAGAGTCGGTCCACTGAGATCACCGGCTCTGTGTGATGCTTTAAAATCGCTGAGCTGGGATTGCAGAACCAAAACGTGTTAAGAGTTACAACCTTCAGCATTGAACTGAAAGAAACCTGCACAACTTGTTTAGAATTTTCCCTCCATCTGGCTCGGCTCTGTGTTGCCGTCTAAATCTGCTTTGAATATAAGCAAAGTAGTTGTGCACCATCCTCAGTTACCTGTACCAGATTTGCTGATAATTCAGGATAATTCACTGTTTTGTGTTTCTGCTCTGTTCACCTGCATACTTTCTACTGTCTTTGCTTTCCCATATCACTCCTCACAGTTCATAGTGGTTACAAGTTTGTGACGCCCCCCCCAATGTGGATTAAATAAAGGTTCAGGAATAATCAGATTTCACAGAAACTAGTTGGCTACTTGCTGTAAAGTGTGTTTCTTGTGGTATCTTTTCAGTTTCTCACTACCTTTATTTATGGTTTTACTTCTGTTATATAAGTGTTTAGGGTTTACCCCAGTGTATTATAAGCCTGGCGGCCCGCCATGCTTTACTAGCCCCGCCGCCAGGCTAAGCGTTGCTCGTTTACCTTTCTAGGAAAATAAAAAATAAAAAAAATATATATATTTTTTTTTAAACCCGGGCTGCAAGCGTCACTTTTGCTCTTAGCATTTCACTAGCAGATCAGATTTATAGATTTATTCCTAAAGGATAGGTTTATAATGGATAGGTTTATAGTTTATGCATTTAAACCCGACAGCGCGCGGACCAATCACATCGCTGGCTCCTCTGCGCTTTGCCTCGCGTGCTGCCGCTGCTTTACCTCAGTGCAGATCGCACGCGCCTCCTTTCACTCAAACTGGACTCAGGCTGACCTGTATGGATATTTACATCAACTTACTGTGAGGAATTATGATATACAAAAACACGGTGGACCACCGGTGGACCGCCTCGACTCCCCGACCATCGGGCTTAGCAAGTTTTCTGGGGGAAACCCTGAGTGTTAAAACGTCACAATTAGAGATTTATCTGCTAGAAGCACTTATATCTGTGTAACTTTGCTGCCTTATGTACCAATCTGCTATTATGTAGACCTGTTTTTAAACCTTTTGTGCAATGTGTTTAACTATACATTTGCCTAAAACTGTTTGTCTTTTCTCGTCAGATCTATTTGAGAAGATGGTTCCCATGGCTGTTCAGCAATCCATGGGCATCTACGGTCAGAGGAAGGCCGACGCTGTGAACAGACTGGTGGGAACGATGAGGGAGGCCACCAATCTCTGCAACGGGTACGATGAAGGTTGTTTCCCTCAGATGCTCTGCATTCACTTGTGCAGAGCATCACGCACCACAGTTTGTAAGCATATTAATAATTCACGCCCTGATGGGCCAGCAGGTACTGTTACACTGCGGATAAAAGCTCTTTTGTTTATTAGTTCACTTCCCTGAGACGTTTCTTAGAAACTCTAAACCAGGAGGTGCCCAATGTACGGCCTAGGGGCCATTTGTGGCCCTCTGGAGAACTTTTGACGGCCTCCTGAACTGAATTCAAGAATTGAAAAAAACTCCATGCATAAATGTTTGATGTTTACAGATATATGCCCTATATCTTCCTAAAAAATATGTGCAAACAATATATTCCCATTTACTAAGTTTTTTTGCCTTCATATTCATTGTACAAAAGTTTGTTTTAAAAATGTTTCCACAAAATACAACGTCTTTGTGGCTTTCGACTTAAAACATTAAAAACTAACAAAGCCCTGTGGTAACGGCTTGTCTTTAACTCTGTCAGGGTGTTGGCCTCTCTGAACCTGCCTGCTGCCCTGGAGGATCTGTCTGGAGACTCTATCCCACAATCCATTGCTGAGAAGTCCAGATCAATCGTGCAGCAAGGAGGACTGCAGAACATCGAGAAGCTCATCAGAGACCTGCCTGAGCTGCTGACTCGCAACAGAGAGATCCTGGACGAGGTCGGTGGGAAAACGCTCAGCCAGTTTCACTGCACTCGTCTCACCTTTCATTCAAGTCCCAAATCTGTTTCTGAAAGTAAAGAGACTTTTAGAACTGCAGGCTTCAGACAGCATGTTTGCCATATGGCTTTGCTTTCTTGAAAGCAGCATGAGAATGTAATTCTCTTTAATAGCTGGCTTGGACGGCGTCAGTTGCTGGCGGTCTCTGCCAAGGCTGCCAGAAAAGCAAATTAATACCAAAAACTCAGAATCATTCCGAATGGCGTGAGTCCCAGATCAGAATCATCGCAGAATTTAATCCACTGATCTCTGGGCCAAGGACGATCAGTCTTATCATCTCCAGCCAGCGTGTTTTTAACATCTTGCTCACAAACAATTAAACAGATGGGAGGAAAACATAAAACACATTCAGCTTCCAGGTTTGTAGTCGAAGTTGAAAAGTCTAAGCCAAAAACGAAAATTAAAAAAAATAAATAAATAAATCCCCTTAACGGGTTTTAAAGTACAAGGAGTGTAAGTTAAAAGTTGAAATGCGATAATTTTTTAAATCTTTTTTTAAATTTATGTGTGAAAAAATCTTAGCTTTTTTAACAGACAAATGCCATCCTGCAAATAGTTGAATATTTACGCAAAGAAAGTAACACACAACTTTTACAAATTTCCATCTCCTGCTAAAAATATTCCTGTGCATCTGTGAAAATCTCAGAAATTAAAAATTTCTGTCATAAATTGCTCAAGCAACTTTCAATCAGTTTGCTAGAGATGCAGCTAGAAACGAGTTTCCGTCAAAAGCAGTTGGGATTGCACTGCCTTGGGAACAAAAATCACATTTTATCAGGTTACAACCACAAACTTCAGTATATTTTATTCTGCTTTTATGCAATAGATCAATACAAAATAGTGCACAATTATGAAGTGATTAGAAAGGAATGGATGGCTTTTAAAACTTTCTGCAGATTAAATCTGGGAAGTTCTGATTTGCATTCATAGTCAGTTCTCTAGCGCTTTACCTTGTGGAAAACATGGGTAGCTAATAGTCCACCAGTGTGTGACGTCATCTCAGTAGAAAGGCAGTGGTTTGTTGGAGAACATTAGAGACCCTGAGCTTCATGCAGATGAAGGACTGCAGCAGACAGGAATAAAGTTGTGGACAGATTAAACTTCAAACATTTCTGTCTTTAATTTCCTTCACTTCCCTGGAAGTCTTACACTTGAGTCTGTAAAACCTGCAGAAACCTTGAAATGTTTTAGCAAGATACTGTACATGGAGGAATGTTATATTTATTTTTTTACATATATATTTTTATGATGGTAAAGTCTGCTTTTATGTTTCAGTCTTTGAAAATGCTTGACGACGAGGAGACGACAGACAACGAGCTGAGAAGCAAGTTCAACCAGCGCTGGAACAGAACCCCGTCTGGAGATCTGTACAAGCCGCTTCGTGCAGGTCCGCCTCCATCACCTTCGCTCTACGCTCTCCAAACTCCTCTTCTTTTCTTTGTGACCTCTCATTCACTCGTGCTTCTCTTCTCTTGTCTCCCTTCCTCTCCCCAACTCTCTCCCGTCTCCCAGAGGGCACCAACTTCCGCAACGTCCTGGACAAGGCAGTGCAGGCCGACCAGGTGGTCAGGGACCGCTACAACGCCCAGTGCGACATGATCGCCCTGCTGTGTAAACCCGAGAACGAGCTGAACGCCGCCATCCCCTCGGCCAACCCCACCAGGACTCTGCAGGGCAGCGAGGTCTGTCTGTCCTCTTTACACTGCGTGATGCCAAACTTTCGTTTCTATAATTCTGGTTAGTTTTTAAGGACTGTCAGGCAGTTTCTGTGTAAACCCTGAGGACATTGTGTGCTTTATGGCCTTTTCCGACCCATTTTTCATATTGTTTGCTGACTTGGCATTGTGTGTCGCTGGGGAGCTTAAACAACTTAGCAAGCAGAACTGAGAAAGAGCAAAGGGAAGAAGTGCACGTCTCTCCAGCTACAATGTTGCCCTGCTTAGGGGGAAAAGACAAGGTGTTGACGTGCTGCGGTCTGCAGCCGTCCTGATAGAGCCGGGTGGTCGGATTGATAAAAACGCCTTCCTGTCCGTCTGCAGGTCGTGAACGTGCTGCGCTCCCTGCTGGCCCAGCTGGACGAGGTGAAGAAAGAGAGAGAGACGCTGGAGGGGGAAATCAAAGCCGTGACGTTCGACATGTCGACCACCTTCCTGAAGGCGCTCGCCCAGGACGGAGCCATAAACGAGGAGCAGCTGTCGCTCTCCCAGCTCGACCAGTCGTACGGGAGCTACAACCAGAAAGTGTCGGCCAGCCTCTCCAAGCAGGAAGAGCTGCTGGGGCAAGTTCAGGTACGCACCAATAGGGCTGAAGCGATTAATCGGATCAATCGATTATTTAAATAATCGTCAACCGATATAGTAATCGATTAACTGGAGTGTACGAACTCAAAAATAAGAGGCCGTTTTCTGAGAGAACAACATATCCAGAGCAGTAATTAAGCCAAAAATGTAAAGAAAAATACATGCATTATTCCTTTAAGATTAAAAGTTACCCAAAACTCAAGTGGTACCTGGTTCAAATTGAGCAAAAAACCCACCTTGTAATCCTCTTTTGCTTTCTAGTTATTAATTGGTTAATCAACAAAAGTATCAGCATATCAATCCTCCGCTTCATTGATAAGTCGAGCAGAAAAGCCTGAGATTTTTTACCAGTTGATGTTTTTTTTTTTGGCTTTTGATGTATCCTTTGCCACAATCAAGCTTAGAGTAAAGTAATGCAGATGGTTTTGCATTTTAGACAGTAAAATGTTTTTCTTATTTCAAAAAGAAATGTAATTGTTTTAATTTTGTATGCATTTCTAATATTGCGTAAAAATCTGCAGAATGTGTCATTTTTTTCATCCAGTTGTCAAAATAAACAATAGATTAATTGATTACTAAAATAATTGCTAGTTGCAATCAGGTTGATGTTGCTTTTGCTTCATTGCCACATGCCTGCATTGTTCTCTGTTGCTAAAACAAACAGTTTAAAAAGCTTATCTTCCTGCTGGAACCTGTAAAACAAAAAGAAATCCGTGTAAGCATTTTAAAGTACAGGTGCAGAAACTTTTAAAATGTTTCTGCAGCGTAATCTGCAGGGACCTGTATAAATAGCTGTGGTGAGAGGCGCTCACCTCCAGATTGATGGCTCTGATTGTGTCTGGCTGCTTCCCCAGACGGCCCACCAGGAGTTCAGCAGCCTGAAGCAGTCCAACAACGAGGCCAACCAGAGGGAGGAGGTTCTGAAGAAACTGGCTTCCGCTCACGACAGCTACGTCGAGATCTGCAACAACCTGCGCGAAGGCACCAAGGTGCCCGCTCCGCGGCGTCCGCACACGCCGACCGCGGCGACGCTCGTCGCGCCGTTGTTTCTCGTTCTCTTCAAACCGGGTCGCTTATCTTTGTTCTCCCTCTTTGTCTCTCCTCAGTTCTACAACGACTTGACAGAAATCCTGCTCAAGTTCCAGAACAAATGCAGCGACATCGTTTTCGCTCGCAAGACGGAGCGTGATGAGCTGCTCAAGTACGTACTCACTGGAGCGTTTCATGACTGCTGGCAGAGAAAGCAGAGCGTGAACAGGAGCACGAAGCTTCTTGTGTTCTGGCTGTCATATTTGTACATTTTTAACTTCAAGCTAAAGCAAAGTGAGAGACTTTGTCTTCTTTAAAATGCACCGAATGACAATATTTGTTACCTGTTATTGTAACAAATATTTCATAAATTGTCCCAGAGGTTGTTGCAATAAACGATAATATTGTTGTTTTCAAACCATTTTCAAGTATCATAATAGTAATGGCATAATTGATTTCCCAAAAATCAATACTCTTTGAATTCTAATGAACATTTAACACTGGAGCTATAAGACATGTCATGTCATATCCAAAATAAATAAACAACACAGCTGAAAAAATTAAATAAAATCTGCAAAAAAATAAATAAATAAAAAAGTTGTCCTTCAAATAAAGAGACTAAATTCACCAGACTGAAGACTTTTGGTCAAAAGAAAGGAAAAAGAAAAAACAATAAATCCTGTGAATGGAAATGATTGAGCTTGTTTTTCTTTATCATGTGGTTAATTGATTTATTACTTATTTCAACAGGCCTAATCCTGGAACTATTTTCTAGGTCTCGAGAAGTGAATTTGGAAAAAGTTTACATTTCCAGACATTCTCTACATGTTATGTCCATCCATCCTTTCTTCCTGATGTGGAAATATCTGTCATTACTAAACTTTCTATTTTCATAGTTGTCCAAATATGGTGGAGAATTATGGAGTTTTTGCACGTTTTGTTTATGACGGCCCAACTCGGTAAAAGCCTTGTTGGAGACGTCCCAGCAGAGAGCTCATCGTAACGCTTTACTTCCCGTTTCAGGGAGTTGCAGCAGAGCATCGCCCGAGAGCCCAGTGCTCCAAACTTCAACGTTCCCGCCTACCAGTCCACACCGGCAGCCCCAGCTCCCGCCCCGGGTCCGACCCCTGCTCCCAGAACCGTCTTTGTAAGGAATCACAAGCTAATAACGGCCAAGTCCACCTTTGACGTATCCTCGCCCTGACGTTCTAATTCCTCTGTTTGTTTCTTACTCTAGGCCCAGCAACCTCAGCAAGTCCAGCAGCAGCCCCAGCAAAAACCTCAGCCTCCCTCCAGGCCACCTCCACCCAGCTTCACCCCCCAGGCAGCCTCCGCCACCCCCACCACACCAACACCCACTGGGCCTCCTACCAGTAACCCTCCACCTATGGCCCCTCCCTCACAGGCACAAGGACCACCTTATCCCACCTACCAAGGCTACCAAGGGTGAGTTTTTCTTATTTCCAACATAAGAATGATCAAAATTAGTTGGAAAATTGAACCAGATGTCAGAGTTTAATTATTTTAAAGGGAGGCTGTTTTGCAAAATAGATTTGTTTTCATAATTATTTTACTTCCAGTTGGGTCGACTTCTTTTAAAACAGGCAAAGCGCTTAAAACTATCCATCTGTTTTTTGGCAATAAGTTGATGCTTTTTGGTGTGTGAAAAATTTGCCCTTTAAAAGAATCTGCATTGTTACCTAGCAACCTGTTACCCAGCAACCCAAGTGGGACTCGAGCAGAAGTGGTCAGCTGGTTTTACTGCTGTACAATGGCTGCTGGAAAAGACGAGTGTTTTGTTATTGACTCACCATTCAGAAACCACTTTCTGCTTTCTTGTTGTTTGTGCAGGAGGCTTCACTTCTGCTTTTCAAAAATGTATGGTTGTATAAATGTGCATCTGTTTGCAGCCGTTTTCATGTGCGAGCGTAAATGTCTTCTTATAGCCTCCTATAAGAAGGCTATAGGCTTCTTATAGGAGATCAAAATGGGCAGAACTGAGCAGACTAAAACTTCATTATCTAACTTTTTTTTTCAGAAATGTGATGAACATGTTTGTTTGATTTGTTTTTTTTTATAGCCCATAGACCCACCCTAACCTGTTCAAGGAAGCGTAATGCATCACCTTTAACAATATTCTCAACTCTTAGAAGTAATAAATTTCATTTCCAGAAATTTTTAAAAATAACTTTAAGACAAAATATGTAATGAAACAAGTTTCAGGTGTTATTGATGACATTTCTTCATTTTAAACATATTTTGGTTCTGAATTACTGCAGTATGTTGACGTTTCTCAAACACATCTCACCTTGTCTTGTATTTTGTCGCTGCAGATTCTACCAGATGCCTATGGGCTACAACCCCTACACTTATGGCCAGTACAACATGCCCAACATGCCCTACATGCCCTACCAGGCCGCCCCGGGGCAGGGCGGATACCCCGGAGCGCCCCCTGCAGGACAGCCCTACCCTGGCTACCCGCAGCAGCCCCCCCAGCAGCAGCCCTACTACCCCCAACAATAACTCTGCTCTTCATCCCCCTCATTCCTCTTCTCACATGTTAACACCAAATAAAAAATATCCTCAGCAATAACACTTCATTTCAATCATCCCCTCTTCATCTTAAACTTTAGTTTGTTTGTTTTTTCTCACCAACAGCAGCTGCAGGACAGGGGACCTCAGAGCTGCTTTGCACTTTTTTCCAAATAAAATTCTCAACTTTAGTAATTTCAAATCCCCTTTTTGTTTAATTTTGCCTTTTTTTTTCTCCAGTTTTTGAACGGCACTTTTTCTAAACTAGTTCGTCTTTCTGCGCTCCACTAATCCCAGCCACTTTCCTCCTGAGGTTTACTTTTCTTCTGTTCTCTTTTCCAGCGTTTTAGTTGATTAATTTAAACTCTAACCCGTTCCCGCCGATACTGACTCCTTGAATGAGCTGGACTGCTGTACGAACACTCATGGACGAATCTCTGATAGGCTCCTGGTTTGGAGGGTTGTCTTTATTGTCTGGGTGAGTGGTCATTTCGAGTCACTCCCTCGCCCAGTTAATCAAACTTCACTGCTTCTCTACCAACTATAATCCTATTTTTGTAATGAATACTGATGCCTCACTCATGTATAAAAGCAGATGGCCCTGTAGGTTTTTCTACTGTAGGTGATGACGGATGACCTTTCTGTTTTCTTTCCTTCGCCCAGGGAATGTGGGTTTATTTCTGTGTTACAATCAGAGGCTGTACAAGTGGGAGAGATGATGATTATTATATAAATATATGTATAAATAAAACTCTGTATGTGGTTAACTAAAAACATCTGTGTGCTGCCATCTCATGCTATGTTTTTATTTTTATTCTTCAGCTCTAATGTGATTAAAAAAAAGACAACAACCAGTCGGAGGTTTGTGTATCTTTACATGCTTTATGTGTTTTGGATGAGGAACAAGGCTGGTCTGAATTTAACTTCGCTCATTGTTGGTGGGAATCTCATTCGTTTTATATTAGGGAGGCACAAAATATTGGCGCCAGTATCGGTATTACCGTAGTCAATTTTTAGTATTTCAGTCTCATTTCGATAAAACTGAGCCGAAGTTAACAGCCAGTATTTATTTATTTCTATCCTGTTTGTTTCTGGAGGAGGAGGCGATTGGCTCAGACATGTGGAGTTTGTTTGGTCATGTGATTGTGATGCAGAAAAGGATTGTGGGTAGTTTAATTGAAGCAACAAAGCACTGAGAAGTCAGCTGTGCGGTCGTTTTTTTTTGTTTTGTTTTTTTCCCCCCAAGGTGTCGAAAGATTAGTGAAGTATATGCATCGGTTATTTACCTTAACAGCAATATTGATATCTGATATCGATATTGGCCCAAATTTTCATCGCTAATTTGAATTATTTGAAACATTCGTAGTTCATGGTGTAGTGATGAAGCATGTTTCCTACTCAAGTTTTAGAAGCAGGAATTGACTGAACAAGGCTGGATTTATTGTGCATTTGTCTTTTTTAAAAGGTTTAATCGGCACTAATGGCCTTTATGTGACAGGAAAGCGGGTTGTGAACGAAGGGGAAAACGTAAGACAATGATGCCCATTTCAAGGACCAAATCCTCTGTAAATGGGTCACCCGCTCTAGTGGTGAACTTGGAAGTTTTATCGCTGTCCACTGAGAAGTGAGTTTAAAAACAGCAAACAAAGCAGCACGAATCCCAGAACTTAAACCTTCAGTCCTGACTGCAATGTCCAGCTTCCAACATGAACAAGCTACATGGTTTCTGCAGAAACCATGTAGCTGTTTGGCCATAATAAGACGTATGTTTAGAGGAGTTGAAAATCCTAACAACTGTCATTATGCTGTGGGGCTGTGATGCTGTTAGAATTAGAAAAAAAAGCATCTCAAGTCAACATCTGGATGGCTGAACCTTGGAAACACTGAGAGTCAACTGAGATGCTGTTTGGGGGATTTACAGTCTTTAAAAGGCAACATATGTGCCTGAAGATCAACTTATTTAAATGACTAATAATGCTGATAAGACAACAGATATCAGAATCAAGTCAAAAGCTTGTTATGCAGCTTCTTAAGCGACACATATCCAAATACTGAATTTCTTTGTGTATATTTGAGCCTGTATGTGTAGTTTTGTAGTTGTGGATTTCAAAATTTAAACTTTTGTTTACAAAAACCGCTTAAGTTGGATTTTGTAACATCAGTCTACGTTGAAAAAAAGAAGCATTCATAAAAGTCCAAAAAGAACTGCATATGATTGGAACTTCTGACCAGCGCTGCTGATGCAGAGCCGCCAGTAGAGGGCAGTCCTGCAGCTCACAGGGGAAAGCGGAGCCTCACTTGCAGCTGTTGCTGCTTCTTTTCATCCAATCAGAGCGTCGTCCCACTCAAACTAATCGGAGGCCTTTTGACCCCCTCTCAGCACCGAGGTCAGATCCCATTTAGATGGCATGCAAATTACGTTGCAGTGAGGTCGCGATCCTATCCAATCACATTTTCCCTGCAGGTAATTTCTCTAAAGACAGATCTCATCCCTGGATATTTATTCAGTGTCATGAGACACTAATGATTTCACATATATTCTCTCTCTCTCTCTCTCTCTCTCTGTGTGAGTGCGCGCGCGCTTCGGTGCCTGTGTGTTTCTCTGTGTGTGTGTTGGGAGGCAGATGGCGGCGCAGTGTGATGTCTGGAAGGATGCATGGAGATGTTGGCAATAAGCTGCTGGTCTCCTGCCTGCATCCATCACTCCACCTCTCTGTTTCCCACTCATCTGTCTTTTGAATCCCAGAAAAAGGCCTCCACCTTCACTTAGTCCTGCTCCCGCACTTTGTTTCCCCCTTCCCATCGCACTGCGGCTCGCTCTGCTCTTAAAGCCTCTGCGCACCACCTGTCTTTGTCCGTCTTCGGCGGCTCGCATGGCTCATCTGTTTCTGCTTACCATTCATCTGTCCTTGCTGCCCAAGCTGTGAGGTGCTGGCAGCAGCGAGGCATCCACACTGGTCAGCGTCTCTTCTTGGCTCGCAACCATCTCATAGCCTTGCGTCAATCTCCAGTGTGTACTTTCTGCGTGAGTCAAACTCTCATGGATGCACGCTTTTAATCAGATCTAACAGCTCCTACTGGAAGTGACACAACACATAGATGCTGCCATGTTTTCCCCCCACCCCCCTTCTTCTAGTTCTTCTTCTCGTTTTCTCTCTTTCCTCCGCTCCCTCTCTATCTATACGGCGCGCCGTTGCTGCCAAAGCCAATTGTAGCTCTGGATATGTTTATCAAAGGTGTCTGCGCGTCTCAGGAGTTTAATTTTAACAAGGCGTTCTCCACCGGAGGAGTGTCATATTTTAATTGGTCTGAAAGAGAATAAAGGCAGCGAACGGAGAACTGCGGTGACAGGTATTAATTACCTTCTGCCTAATGGCTCCAAAAACTCAGCACTCAGCCATATTGGTGCTCGCACTATTCTTACTCCCCCACTCCTTTGTCTCATCGCTTCTCTCTCCTCCTCACCATGTGTTGGTCTATAGTGGGGGCTGAATCAAGGCTTTTCTTTGGCTATGATGTCGGTAATTAAATAGAGATACTCTATTAGGGACGCTCTGTTTGTCATTTGCAGAGTGCCTATGTGTGCAGCAGCTCGGCTAATTTGGGAACAAGCCGAACGTAGTTGCGTCGTGAGTCAACACCTGAATGGTAGGTGTTGTAGATGAATAATTACTGCAGACAGCTGTGGGACGTCTTATGGCGTTGGACAGAGCTAATGAAGAGCATTTAGATGGGAAGGAATGGTTAAGCGCAATTATGTCGACGTCGGTTTTGCTGGTTGGTGTAAAGAAGCGGCCGACGGCTGCTGCAGGAGAGCTGGAAGCAGCCTTAAAACGCTGAATACAATAGCTAATTAAATCAATTAATGGTTACATATTTAGCAGGTTAAAGTGATAAGTATGTTTGAGATTAAAATGTTGCCTTGCAGCAAGAACATCTTGTATTTTAATCCTTGTGCAGCCGTGGGTTCTCCCTGGGTACTCCAATTAGGTTAACTGGTTTCTCCAAATTGTCCGTACATGAGAGTGTGTGAGGTCGTGTCTCTGTGATGGACTGGTGACCAGTCCAGGGTGTTCATGTGAGGATAAGCAGGGTTTCAATAAATCTCAATCAATGATGAACAGCTAATGTTTTTTTTTTCTTATATTTTCTCCACTGATTATTCAATGAGAGAACCAATAATTATCGATACACTGGAAAAAATGATTACATTCAGTTACTGTGTGCAGCTTCATGATAGAAGTCAGATCTTTTTAAGTAAGATAGAAATATCAAAGAGTCGTGTTTGTGGCTTTATCAGTGCTGTCCTGTGCACAGCCATACAGCTACCTTAAAAAAAGAAGAAGTAATAAATAGCTTTTTATCATCATTTGTATGGCTACCACATGTATCGCGATAAAATGCTAAGCTCACATCGTCCATCCCTTCTACAGACTCATCCACAGTTGCAGCTTTAAAGCCACGGTGGTAATTTTACCTCAGAGATTTTGTCCTGAACGTTTTTCCTGCTTTTTTTTCTCTCTCTGCATCTCGCCCTCACTGAAGCAAGATGCCTGAAATAACCCTGATTGACAGGTATAGAAACACAGTTACTATAACAACTACCTCCAGAGCACCTCTCCCCCCGCCCCAAACAGCCACCACCTCCTCTCTTTTCATTTTCTTTTTTACCAGCTCTCCATTTTTACCCCCCATCTTCTCCCCTCGCCCCCTCCCTCTGTGTGCATGTGTGGGCGTGCAGGGAAGGAGAGATTATGAAAAAGAGCTCGGCTGCAATATTCCTTCGCATAGAGATGTTTGTGTTTGCGAGATTTAGAGAGGGGCCCGGCGCCAGCTATTGGATCTAACCTGTGTGGGTGAGGGGTAGGCTGAGAGTGGGAAGATGAAACATGCTTACACAACACGAGCAAATAAGCCCTTTATATTTCTTTTTCATGTTTCCTTTTCGGTGCCTGTTCTTCCTGTCAGGTTTTGAGCCGCTCCGCTTGTATAATCGAGCCCGGTCCAGCATGCTGTTATTCCTGCATGCGTGGGTGTGTTTGCATGCGTGCACACATTGGTGTCATCGAGGCCACCTGATATGATGAGTGAATTTCAAGCACGATAGATTTAGTGGGACTGACAGTACAGAACAGGAGAGAGAGAGAGAGAGAGAGTGTGTGTGTGTGTGTGTGTGTGAGTGCGCAGTGGCGCAAAAAGTGGGTATGTTGTAGGGCTGGACGAAAAAAAAAATCAAAAACAAAATATATCGCGGTAAACAATATCAATAGATAATACAACTAGTAGAATATTTAACATAGAAAATATTACCTGAACTCCGACCTAGGCCCGCACAGCATTCTGGGGGATGTAGGCAGAGGAAAAGCTTCGTGGCGCGTTCACTCCATAGAGTTAACACTAGTCGAAAACGCTTCTGGCGCTTCAAGTTCGACACATGTGCACTTTTGGTGCGTTCACAACAAACACGCTTTGAGCGTCAATGTCTATGTGGAGCGCCGGACTGACACGTCGAACGCTCAAAACGCTAAAACGGTTCAAATCGCAACGCGCTAGACGCAAAACGCGCCACAACGGCCCTCGACGCGCCTCCACATAGACTTTGAATGTAAACCAGACGAGCCTGACGCTCAAAACGCGTTTGTTGTGAACGCACCATTAGCCGCTCAACATCTCTGGCTAGCTAAGAAGGACCGGTGGAATCAACTAACTCATTCGTTCTTCGGTTAGCTAGCAACTCACTCGCTCTTTGGTTGTCTAGCAACAACCTATTGAGTAACTCGCGCAGTTTCAAGTTTCGCCGCAGTGCCTCAAAGCTGCTTAAAAATAAACAATGGCGTGGAGTGAAAACTGTGGATAAGAGTTTTTCAGATGTTTAAAACAAAAACAACTAATCAATAATTATCATCGATAAGGATAGTGGTGAGTTTTTCAGCCGTATCACCCAGGTCCTATATGACACATTGGGGTGCTGCTCGAGGGGGCGCCAAAATGATAGCGGTAAAATTATTACTAGTGGGGATTTTCTATATTTAACACCTGTTTGTGCTTTGAAACCCCCCTATAATGTGTCTGCATGCACCTCAGAAAGTACTTAGCTGCACCAGTTGTGTGTGTGTGTGTGTGTGTCTATGTGTGTGTGTCTATGTGTGTGCGTGTATATTGCTGAAAGGACAGCGGATATCACTGGTGCCACCTGCTTTAATGGGACAAAGGGTCAGACATATATACAGCCATTTGCATATGCAGACAGGCAAGCAGAGGTCATAGTGGTCTCTTAACATAGCATTGCTGGTATCATTTACTTAACCTTTTTACACTTGAGTTATCCCTGCAGTCCTTCCTGTCAGAGTCCTCCTCCTTCCCCCCCATGTCTCCTCTTCCGTGTCCCTGCCTGTCCTTTCATCTCCCCGTCTCTGAGTCATCACACAGGGTGAGAGGTCTGAGAGGAAAACAAGCTGCCAGAGTTGGACATGCCATAACAATGCCGCACCTGTCACTGTATAGTATGTGTGTGTACCTGTGTGCGTGTGTGTGTGTGTGTGTGTGCGTGTACATGTGCATGCAGCTGTCTCAGTGTCTGCCATCAGGAGAAAGCAGGCAACTTCGAGAGAGAAAAAAATATATACGCCCCGACCTTTCATTGTTTCTGTGTTTCTGTGTGGCTTTCTCCAGAAGTTGTTCTGCCGCCTTATTGATTGGCTGTCTTGCTTTGTGGCAGGAAATGAGCCGGCGGAGCTCAACACCTGCGTGACCCCAGCCGCAGTGGGCTGACTCCCTGTAATGATCTGAGCTCTTCTGCTCGGGTCTCATGCTTCAGCCACTTCCTTCCTTTGAGCGGACCTGATCAATGACGCGCCCATTGGCGTCTGCGCGGCAGACAGACATCACACGTCGTCACCGGCTTACTAAGGTAATCAAAACCATAATGCTACAACCACCCACTTAAGAGTGTTTTATGTTTGTGTGTGTGTGTGTGTGTGTGTGTTTTAGACTAACACAAAGCAGTGCGTAGCTGTGAGGCGGAAGGTAAAAAGTATCCACAGCATCATGACAACGTGGGAAAAAGTTTGAGACTTTTTGCAAATTTCTGAAAAATATAAAACAAAATCATGTTTACATAAGTATTTACAGCCTTTGCTTTATACTTTATACTCTGAGCTCACTGGGACATTTAAGCAGCAGAAATGTTTGTGGCTCCTTCCCCACATTTATACCTCAAGACAATCCCAACTTGGAGGTCTACAGACACTTTGCTTTGATCTCATGCTTGGTGTTTGACCTCTGACCTGCACTCGTACCCTTGATAGGCAGGTGTGTGCCTTTCCATCTTCAGTCCAATCAGCAGAGTTTGGCCTCAGGCGGACTACGTTTAAGTTGCAGAAGCATCAAGAAGGATCAGGAGAAACGGCTCAATTTAAAGCTTAAATGCCAAAGGCTGAGAATGATTTTGTAAATATGCCTTGCAAAAATCTCAACAAATGTTTTCCACACTGGCATAATAAGGTATTTGTAGAACTTTGAGTAAAGAAATTAATTTAACAGGATTTTAATAAGGCTGCAGTTGTGGAAAAAGTTGCAAATTGCCCCCCCCCCCCCCCCCTCGCCGCCCCTTCTTTTTTCTTTTTTTTTTTTTTTTTTCTTTTATACTAT